ATAATCATGTTTATACTTATATTTGTTATCTAATTCACGCACAGAGAGAGAGAGAGAGAGATGTATTCATTTCATGTATTCATAATCATGTTGATACTTATATCTGTTATCTAATTCACGCTTAGATAAGATAGATAGATAGAGGTATTCATTTCATGTATTCATAATCATGTTGATCAGAAGTATCAAATTCATGCTTAAATAAATAAATAAATAAATCGGCCCGACCCCTCCACGTCTTAGTATCCGGCCTTTTTTTAAAAAAACAAAAAACAAATGCCTCCCCTAGATCCGAGGGGGGGGGGGCAAAAGGTGTGTTGCAGATGCGCCCTAAATCCTACACCAGGGTTAGGAGGTGGGGTGGGGGGGGGTGGGAAGAGATCTGGGCGCCTGGCGGGGAGCAAAGGCGCCCCAGTTTTTGCACGACTTCGTGCCTTAAAAGTTCCCGCAGGAAGCCGGCTGGCCTTTCCCCCACGCCCCAAGGAGGAAGGGCGGCCAAAAGCAGCCGAGCGGAGCCAAAGGCGGGCTTGGCTTCGGTGCGCTCCCTTTTACCGAAGCGAACCGATGATCCCTTAGGGACCCCCCAACACCCTCCCCCACCGTCCGCCCCCCCCCTCCCCAGTTCCCGGGCATCGCGGGCACGCGCACTCGCCTCTCTGCAGCTGCCCGGCGCTTCTCCGCTCCGCTCCTTCGGGATTGAAATGGACGGAGCCGGGATCGGGCGGCTGCTGCTGCTCTTGCCGCTGCCGATCGCCGAGCGGGCGAGGGCGCGGCTCTCTCTCTTTTTTTTTTGCAAGCGCGATCGAGGCCTTCGGCTTTCCATTGGACGGCCTTGATGGGGAAAGTGGGGGTGGGTGGGGGCAAGCAGCCGTGGGCGGGGCCGCCCCTGGGAGGGAAGAGGAGGAGGAGGAGGTTAGGATTGGCGCGAGAGCTCGTCCACCGCGGCGGGAAAGGATTTTGCAAAAAAGGTTTGCAAAAAAGGCGAGCGCCCAGCCTGGGAAGGGTTTGCAAAAGGATTAAATCAATAAAAGGCGCAGCGCCCAACCGGGAACCGTTTGCAAAAG